TTAGAGATAAATATAAAATTTTATTAATAAATTATTATATTTTTATTTTATTAGATAAAAAAATTAGACCTACTAAAATCAAATAAAGAAAGTAAATTATTAAAGTAGATAGTAGTTATGAATTCAAATGAATTTTTTATGAGCATGTGATAATTTCTTCTCCCTACATCTATTTTAAGTAAAGAGCTAAGAGAAGAAACTTATGATAATATAAGATACTAAATTATTAATATAATGGTATTTTTTATGTTGTAGTAATTGTTGTTTTGGTCATTTTAAGAAATGACAAATCTTTTTTTTTTTTAGTTAAGTAATTGTTATAAATTTGATAAATTTAAGTAATGTCTATTGAGACATATATTATAATTGTAGTATAAAAAAATTGATTTTAATTTTATCAATTGTGTAATTAAAATACTTTATGTGATATTGGTGTTATCCAATAAATGCACCATAAAGAAAAAAAACCTTAAAATAAATTATCATTTTAGTGCCAATTTAATGCTAATATATGATAAAAAAAAATGCCACCTTATTGTCATGTAAGCAATGGATCCCACTAGAAGCACCTTTCCATTACGAATTAACGATTGTCTAATGTAAACCACACAAAAAGGGTCGATTTGCAACCATACAATTGCTTGAGAGGCTGATCTGTGTCTATTTTTAGTTGAGGGATTGATTTGACATCATTTACGGAGTACAAGGGCTGATTTGCCCTTTTTGCCTTTTTTTGGTTTGAGTTCTTCTTTTGGTGATCTGGGCGCAGTGCACAAGACGGCAACTTCCCTCCGTTTCTATTACAAAAACTCCTTTAAATCAAGGTTAATTATACTTCAATCCTAAATTTACTAAGGGTGAATTTGGAATTGTTATGAAATATTGTGGTTGTGGTTGTAACTGTAGCTGTAGTTGTGATTGTTCTGTAATTGTGGTTGATAGTTATTTTAGTATTTAATTATTAATTCTTTTAAAGTATTATAGGTGAAATATGATAAATTTTATTA